AAATCCTCACGCGATTTTCGAAGCTCGATTCCAAGATAAGTTTTCCATTAATGTTTGGGCAGGTATTATAGGAAATAGGTTACTAGGACCATATGTTATGCCGCATCGTTTAGATGGGCCCGCATACTTACATTTTCTACAAAACACTTTACCAGTTTTGCTCGAAGATTTGCCTTATGGATTAAGATTAGAAACATTTTTTATGCACGATGGGGCTCCAGCCCACTTCAGTTTATTAGTTCGACAATATCTAAATCAGACTTATCCAGATCGGTGGATTGGACGAGGTGGACCCGTAGCTTGGCCTCCCCGTTCGCCGGATCTTAATCCGTTAGACTATTTTCTATGGGGTTATTTAAAACACTTAGTTTATTCAGTGCCTGTTGACAGTGTACAACAACTGGAACAAAGAGTCATTCATTGTTGCCAAGAAATACGGAATATGCAAGGTGTTTTTCAACGAGTTAAACGTTCAATGAGAAATCGTTTAGCCAGTTGCATTGAAATGAATGGACATCACTTCCAACACTTGCTGTAACTAAAGAAGTAACATTCAGGTTTAATAATAAGTCACTAGTATTATTTGTTTCTGTATTGTTCCCTGTTTTTTTTTTAATTATAAATCTGTTTTCCATTTACCGTTTCTTTTTTATCACTATTTAACAATACCTGACAGGTTTTCTACAAGAATACCTTTTTTATGTCATTTATACCGTGAAATCAGAATTTCTAAAGAAAACTGCAAAAATATGACGTTTAATAAAAATGTGAACAAATTAAATCGAGGCTTCCCCTGTCGGTACGCCCCTGATTAAAATAATAATTTAGTAAAAACACTAAAAAGTACCTACTATTAAAGGCAATTCATATGCCAAAATTCAGATGGCTATCTAAAACGGTTCCAGAGATATAAAATAAAACCTATATCCCGGTGCAATCTTTGAATCGCCATAGCAACCTTATGACGCATTTGCGGACCTATGTTCATATGAACTTTTCTTCATAGTTTAATATGTAGAATCCACCCCTAGAATTATTCGAACGGTATTTCCGGACACCCTGTATAAGTCAAACTAACTTATTTCAAAAATTCAGGCAAATTGACCAAAATTCAATATTAAGGCTGTTTCAATTTACCAAAATTCCAAACAATTTTTTGGAATGCAACTAAAATTATTTAAGAGTAGAAATAAAATAAAACATACCTGGGCGTTTTCAGAAGTCTCCTCTCATATAAGACAATCCCCTCATCCTTGTCTACATACTTATAAACTTCCGAAATGCTAATAAAGCTTACATCATTGCTACCAGCATCCTCACAGGTTAACAAATTAACGCTTCCATCTTCCGTTATGTCAAAAATGTTCTGTTCAAACAAACTGTTACTGGAACAAGTCATATAGTCACTACTAATCTCTCGGGATTTCAATAAATTAGTTTGCTTTTCAGGACTATTATCCTGGGGTTTATCGCAAAACAGATTTGATTCGTCATTAATTGAATTTGGCAAAGTAACAATTCCACTTTCTTTCGAAAACTGAGACATCTTGGATCCATCTTCTGCATCTTCAAAAATTGAAATATCAGGAAATTCTACAGCTTTATCCTTTATGTCTGTGGCAACAGTGTTATCACCACTAAACTTTGAAAATTTGACTTTCTTAGATGCTTTAGTGCAGTTGTTTTTGTTATTTCTAGTTTTCCTGTAAGATTTCCTGAAAGTAATATTTTCAACGTTAATCAATTTTAAATGTTCATTGTCGGACTCATCTACCGAACTTTCAAATGAAAGAAAGCCGTCTTCTGCGGTGCTACCCCCAGTACTTTTCGGAAATTTTATGAAACTCTGTCCACTCTCTTCCGAAACGTGCTTATTGAACCAGTTCATTACATACTCGGTAGTATCTGATTGAGGCAAGTTTTTCAAGTTTTCAAAATATTTCTCTTTTATAATACTGTCCGTTTGGTTGTCGTTAATAACTTCATATTCTCCAATAGTGCGTCCATTGTTTATAAGAACCTTATCTAAAAATAATTAAATGTTAATATGTTGTTTACAATAAAAGACTAAATTAGAATGTACTACTAGCTTCTGTTTATACCTTTTTATCAATAAATTTAATGTCAAATCATAATTATATTAATTACATAATTGTTACAATCATAATCATTTAGAGATATGGGGTTGGGAATGTTCCAGTTAATTTGTATTTAGAACTAATTTGTATAAATAATAAAACAGAAAAATGTTTGGGTAAAGGTAGGTAGGTATAAACATGAATATTATAAATTGTACATCTTAGTGATGTAATGAACGACATCTACGCAATCACAAATTGTATAAACTTTTACATGCATTACATACATCCATCTCTCGTTACTTAAAGTATAAACATTTATCTGTAATCTTGACATTCATATTCTAAATAACTTTAGAATTAGAAAGAATTAATTATGATATTTTACTAAAAAAACACACAAACGCTAAGTACTGAAAAATATTTTCTTCTACTCTTCAGATGATCGTTTTTATGTACGGAGCCTTCATAAATGATTACACCACGTGACCATCGAGCTTCGGCAACCGAACATTGCACAACTGGTACTATCAACTAAAAATCCCTAAATCTTAGCGTCATCAATATTAATGATTTGTTTACAATGAACCTTGACAAACCGTTGCGTTTACATTCGAGATAATGCGATCGCTGATTCCTTGAATATAGTCTCGTGAAAAATTATGCCAATTACTAACCAGTAAAACAGAATGTTGTGTTTTAATATAATCTTGGTCTTATTGTTTTAATAATCTTTTATTTGACTGAAATGTAATTGCCAACGTGCACGAAATAAAATATAGTTCCAAACAAAATTACTGGTTATGTGGCTTGTAATCATTTATGAAAGCTCTGTATATTTACTTTAGAAGACAATAGCAAAGATTCAAAGAAGCTAAATCAAGCAAGCAATGTAAAATTGACTTGGAAAGAGATTTCTAGTCCGTAATAAATATTTGGGAGAACTCATATCTACGAAATTTATTATTTTATAAAAACATTTAACGTCGAAGTACAACAAACGCAATTTATTTATGACGTAAATGCATTTTTTACAACAAACTAAGAAAAAAGCTGTAGGAAAAGATTAGATATTTAACAATCTGGATATCAATGTGAGATATTTGTGGTTAGACAAACCAACACCTTCTTATATTACTTTGGTGAAAGGGCTTATAAAAACAGTAATTTAATTAAAATTAATTTTTTCTTTCTACTTTTGGCAGGACTATCCAATTTGATAAAAAATTAATGTTATATGTACTTACATTGAAGTAAGATTTAAAAATTGTCATACCTAAAGTTACTTAATTATCAAACCTTTATACATAACTAGAACATAGGTGCTTGCTATATTATAATTTGTCTGTTATATACATATAATTTTAAATGCATAAAACTGAAGCATGAAACAAATATTTGAAAAAAAAATATCACATGTAGAGAAAAAGGGAAAAGAAGTCAAAAAATATAAATATTGTGATTGTGTATTGTATTTCAGGTTCTTCCATTATTGTATTTTATAATATTTTGTAATTGTATTTTATATTATGACTCTTGGTCTGTGTTACTACAATTACAAGAAAGTTAAAACCTATACCAGATGTATTTGTAAAAAGTCGGCCATAAATTATTATATAAGACAAAAAAAGTGAATGTTTGAGATGTACTGGCACTATGTATTATATGCATTAGAGAGATTTGACTTTCATTTCCCATCACACTTTTAGAAAGATGGGGGAAGTACCACACAAATGGTTACATGTTTGTAGTTGTAAAACAAGGCAGTAGCTCTTCTGTAAACATATCACCACTTTAATATTATTATTACACTACCGGTTACCGGTTCATCAATGCATAATTTTATTTTCCATATATTTTTCCTCCTTGAGAAAGTAAAAATGATGAGTAAGTTCTATGTACATAACCGTTGAACTGCAGTACTAAATATCTTTTTCACTTGCCACTGCTCTCCACATAAGGAATACACTATGATTTACATTATTTTCAAGGTCATCAGTGCATATTGCTCAAAAAATGTAAAGGTAATCGATATTAAACTGAGACCTCCCTATTAGAGTAATTTTTAAAATTAATATAATAGATGTCACTTCCCTGGTTCTCACATCTAGTAACTTTAGTTCTCACTAATGTAGTATACTATTATGAAGTTAATATAAAATCATTTTAAGGGTGATATGATTAATATACTTACCACATTTTCGACAGATTCCCAAATTTTTGGAAAATAAAAAAATTATTGCAGCACTTTTGCATTTGTAACCAAATGATTCAAATATTTAAAGATATACCATTTCATACTATATAGGTATTTACAAAAGAGGGGAAATATCTAAATATAAAAATACCATATTTTTTTCCTTTGACCGCTTTATTGAGGACACACTGTATAAATAAAAAAAAAATCTCATAACAGAACCTGCAGGCCTCATTTAATTTAATATGCATCAAGTAATTTAATAATGGTACATTAAAGGGTCAACAGAGCACATAAAGTTAGATTAGAATCTATTTTTATAAAAAGGTGATGACGACTGTATTCTGTATAAATTTAGTCGCAAAAGAATATACAAATATATATTATTATAAAATTTAAAAAATCAAAACACAATCTGTTGATACCCTTAGTATGTTGTATCTACCAGCAAATACTGAATATTTAAGTTAAATGAATTTTGTTAATCGTATTGTGTGGAAACAAAAATGGAAATCAAAATACTTTTTAAACTGAAACAAAAAACTAGACATATTCAAGTTATCAAATAATGACATCTCGAATAATCTTAATAATAAAAAAAAATCTCCAAACTGATTCTGCATTTTACATTCTCATCAAATTCAATTCAATTAGTTCAACTTGGATTAAGGATTTTTGTTTCCAAGTTTTACAAAGTATTTTACATATACCTAATTTAAATATGAAAGCTGTTTCTTTGGCATATAGAGATGAAAAAAGTATGCACAAGTTAATTTGACGTGAATTTTGACAAATTAGTTAAATTTGATTTGCTTTCAATGATTCCACATTTACGAATGTAGCAAATATCGGCTGAAGTTGAAATTTTTTTTGTCATTTCGGTACCTTTCATTTTCGGAATCTCTGTTGTCAAAGTAGTAAAGAAAAACGTTTATGGCCAATTTTCTGGAACGTGCAAATTTTGTATATTGAACAAAAGTATTGTCTGTTTTTTTTTTTCGAAAAAATATTCTACTTTACTGAAGTTACTGAAGAAGTAGTTCAAATTATCGAAAATTCAAAAATTGATTATGAATAAGAATAATTTAATAGAAAAACAAACAACTTAAGCAACAGACATAACATACTATTTGCACTGATAAGTTATAGAAATTGTTCAAAATGATCAACGTTTTCCCTCAGGCATACATGTATTCTTCGTCAAAAATTGAAGTCTACTCTATCCAATTGATTGTTTCTTTGACGTTTAAATTCATAGCCAACTTTTGAATTTTCGAAGATTTTTAAATAACACCTACAATGTGTATTATTAGTTATTCGTGTTTTTAACTAACAAGACTAAGAAAGGTTTTAGAATTAAATTTCCCATAAAATAAAGAAATAATTTTTCCGCCGAGTTAAAAAATTCTGTCACATTTTAATGGTGCATCATCCATTATCAACCCTTTAAAATGCTTCATTTGAACTCTACTGTCGATTAATCTGCCATCCTTAATATAAAGGCAGCAAGTACATTTTTTCGATTTTTATATTTTAGGCTTATTTGATTGATTAATGTTTTCTGAACCTATAAATATCAGTGTAATGATAAAAAAAATTAAAATTCTATTTTATCTTCAAAAAAACAAAAAGCGGTAAGTACACTACGTCCTCATTTTAAATAGTAAAAAGGGGGTAAGTGCAATTTTTAAGAAAGAAGGCGGCTTTTGAAGATATTTACATGGTTGAGACATTTTGTCTTGGTACATTATACAAATTAACGTCACATTATATGAAGCGAAAAAGCAGTAAGTACAAAACATGAAGAGAGATAGCCGCAAGGCATATTTTGTAAGGACTTGTTGCCTTATTTCGTAACAAATATGTGTCACGCCACTGTTTACTAACTTGATAGGCAGCAAGTACTGCTATATGAAAGAGAAGACCCTAACAACCATTATATTTGGTATTATTGTCCCCTTTTTTCTTTATAAAACGTATTCCAGGAAACTATAAAAACAGAAGTAGGTTAAATATTTACTAAAGAATTAGTACCCCATTGGTGGTTAGTCTTTATAGGGACCATTAGAGGATCGGCAGTTCAATATTTAAATGTTAGGAATAGAGTAGTAATACTAACAGTGAAAAAAGCATTTTGTACGATTGAAGGTAAGATTTTATGGTATTACTTAAATACGATTAGTTATAAAATTTAGATTTTTAGAAGGTGAGCAGAAGCAGGAGAATTTTGATGACCGCTTTGATAGAATCGAGCCAAGCAAGTGATATAGACAATGTAATTCAACTAACTTCAGGGAACTTGGAAAGAAGAATAAGAAAACAAGACTGCGATAAGTTGTTAAAGAATGTTTCTTTTGGCAGTACAGATATTTAAAAATTAATCAAAGATATAAACTATTATTACAACTTGGTTTTCTTTTCAGAATTAAAAGATTTTAATATATGAAATTAATACGAACAAAGAAAATTTATGTGAAAGTTTTGATGTAAGCAATATAAGCGATTAACAAGGAATAAAATTTAAGTTTCTTAAAACTAGAATAGCTAAGGAAGGAATAAAAGACAAACCTTCTTGAAGACAAAGACTGAGGAAAATAGTAGGTTCAAAAAAAAAATCTATAATAAGAAATATATGCCTTCTAATGCCCAAAAGCAGAAGAGAATTTTGGAAAAACTTGATTGAAAATTATGTGCCAAACATTCTTGTTCTTTGTCCTTTAAATATTTTTTTTTTATTTGAGTGTGCATTTTGAGCTCAACTAGGTTATGACGAAACTAGGAAATATATAAATAAAAAATAAACATTGGCACGCTAGGTATATGCTATTTAAAAATAATGTATCGCTAGATTTTTACATTTACGTTATTGTCATAGCGTTTTATCTCCTTATCTTTTTAGCCTTGTACAAAAACAAATTGAAATATCAAAGTTTTAGAACATTTTCTTGTCATTTCACAGAAATATATTAGAAACCAACAGAATCATACGTCGAAGATATAATCCAAAATTTTTGGAACATCATTTTAATTTTTTGAAACCCTTTTCTCATAGATTTGCTTTAACAATTTGCACAATATTTTGGTTTATTTGCTGACCCTCCACAATGGATAAAGTCAAGATTGCCACTGAACCAATGCATATTTATGCAACGTTTTATGAATTTTGTATGTATTTCTTTAAAATCGGAAAAACATTTCTTAAATCCTTAGTCTATACATTTTAAAATTTTTTTAGATAGAAATAAAAAGGTAAGGGAGTAGAATTTTTGTGAATAACCCTGTAAAAAGCAAATGCTTCTATGATAAACTGCAGCGACAAACTCAAACGCTAAGTAGTAAAACAGCGGCAAGTGCAGAAAAAACGGTACTTACCACCTTTTAACTTTGTGTAGAAATTTTTCTCAAGTATGAAATATGAAGCATAAAAGCAATAACTAATATATTTTTTTTGTGAGTAAATAAATTTATATTTAATTCTACTGAAAAATATTTTGAATTGCAATCTTTTGCATCTCTACTAAAATTAAATTGATACGCTAAAGTTTTGTGCATTTTTGTCAGTAACTGTATTTCGTCACTTACCGCCTTTTTACTAAGGATGGCAGTAATGCTCTTGGTAACTCACACTGTGTATCAAATTTGTGTTTTGCAAGTTCAAGTATAACTAAGATACCTAATTTTCTTTTTTCAAAATTTAAAACACCCACTTTCAAGGCCTATAACATCTAAGGGGTGCAACTTAGTATAAAGGTAAGTTGCTTTAAATCACCATATTTTGGGTTCCCTTACATGCCCCTGCTCTGTGTCGGTTTTTACGCGAAACACCCTGTATATACCTATGCTGACTGTCATCTGGATCTGATTAATCATTCTCAAATTACTTGAAGAGAAGGCGTATTTTGGCAGTGAATATTTCACTCTATAACCTTTATACTAAGCATTTTCGGACATTTGTTCATAGGAAATTTTTGTTTAAAGTAACATAATTCTATCTGCTCGTAAAACAAGGTATATGATTTAATTTCTCTGATACTACATCAGTTATATTATTTATAAATATTTTATTCCGAATGAATTCACTCACTCACCTAATTTAAAATTAACATTTTCACAGTCTTCTTTCTCTTTCTTTAAGATCTCATTTTTGATGGGCAAATAAGACCTTAGCAAATCGAGACATTCCACATAATCTTCCTTCCGAGCGTAATGAAGGGGGGTCATGCAGTTGGCGTCTCGAGCCTCTGGGTCACCTCCGCTTGCCAGGAGCAAATTCAAAATTTCGACTCTTCCCCATGCTGCCGCTATGTGAACCGGAGTCAAACCGTCGTCAGACCTGAAAAATACATACAGTCCTCATAAACGTTTACAAACTGCGTGACCGCAGAGCTTAGGCAACCAACATTACAGGCTGGTAGTGGTAATGAAAAATCCCTAAATCTTAGCGTCACCAATATGAATGATTCATTTACAATGAATAATGACAAACTGTTACGTCTAGAGTCAAGATAATGTGATTACTGATTGGTTAAATAGAAACTCGTGAAAAGTTACACCGGAATAAGTTAGAAACAATAATACACAGTATTTTTTAATGGTATTGATAATAATTTTTATATTTTTTAATTAAATACATAATTCGTAATATAGGTTTGTTTTGTCACATTTTACTTAATTTTATGTGTTTAAATGTGATAAACAATAATTAAACAACTAAAATGTGGCATTTAATTTTTCCTATTTAGTTAAAGATATAATTTGTGTCATATAAAGGGAGATCTATTTCAAATATGAACAGCATGATAAAAGTTGTAAAGATTTTAATCAGTTTGGGAGGATTTTTTTTTAAAGGTAGTCAAAAAAACATACCTTTCAACAAAGTGTTATTCTATTTTTACTAATCAAGATTTACACCGATTTTTTTTATTAAATGAATAGAAGAGATTGTATAATCATTTTTTTTATTAATATTTGAATACATTTTTGTAAACACAACACGCTCTTAAGTGAGTACCTTTAAAAAAAAATACATTTGCAGATTTTTGCAGATAAATATTTATATTAATGAAAATATAATGCATTTTTTATTGCAAACAAAGTAAGCCATGGAATATATACCAAAAACAGATAACAAAATGAATCCTAATATTACTAACTGTAAGCGATGAGGACAAATCACACCAACGACATCAACAAGGAATTTCTTAAAATTAAATATAAAATAAAATGTTGATAAGACTCTTGGTCAAAGAAAAGCAAAATGTGCATAAAAAATAAATGCTTATTTACAAAAAATCAAGTTATACTCCACGGTCGAAATTATAGAGAGTGATTCATCGCTAGCTTTTGGACTAGTAAGGGGGATGAAGCGTGCCGGGAACGAAAATCCATTGGCGTGTCTGCGTAAAAGGCAACAAGATATAGAAAATAA